GCTATGTTTACCTCAGAGCAACTTGCCCCTGGAACAGCTGCACAGATTTGCTCCCAAGTACATTAATGCAAAATCCTACTGCATGTGTTTTTTGAAAGTTTCATAAGCAGCCTTTAATTAAGGGCAGTGCAGCTACTGGTAACTTAGAATCTTATAGTCATGCATTATTTTCACCTTAAATATGCAAAGGAAGAAATAACTGCTAGATAAACATGCTGAATTCAGCAAATTATAGCTGCTATCTTATATACAGTATACTGTCTGATTAAAAGTGCTATTACAGTGAATTTGACAAATGAAGCTATAATACAGCTGAACCAGTGGTGTGTTATGTCTGCAGTACAAAGAGCATAATATGGGAAAATAGTACAAGGAAAACTGAAGCTCAACTAAAACTCATGAACATCCTGGAGGTACAGCAAAAGGTTTTCAATACATCGGGGGAGCTCAATTGTTCCTTCTTTATTGACAATCACTTTGTCTTTTTATGGCAAATGTAACAGAAAGACCTTCTCTCAGTCTATGTGTGACAGAGGATAAAAAAGGTTCCCACACTGAGAGGAAGTCAAAGAGGGGCCACTTCTGATGCGGAGGGGGATCAAAATTGAGGAAAGTGCGTGCGTGTGAATGTGCGTGATCTAGGTATTACTCATCTTGTGGGGACCACAATCAAAAATGGACAAAAAGTACACGTGTGAGTGGATGTGTGTCTGTCTGTGTATCTAAATAAATAAAACCTATGGTAAGATTTGAAACAACACTAGCTTGCTGCACAGAAATCACTGTAGAGCTTTTCTGAAAACACCCCCACCCCCACTAACACACAATTATAAAACACGCACATTTGCAGTCACACGCAGTGCACACTCACATTAATAATGGGAGTTGAAAGTATCTATTGGCAGCATGTATACTTTTGGCACAGAGGTGGTCAGAAGTGCATTTACTAAAGGAGACCCACGCTCCCTTTCTTTCCCACTGTTGTTCAGGTTATCCTGTGGGGCCACTTATGACCCTTCTGCAGGCAGGATGCAATGTCTGGGGACCCCAACAGAGCTGTACACGAGCATCCGCCAAGCCCTGGGAAGAAAACAAGGGCTGATGGAAAACTAGAAGAAAAGAGTATAAAGAGAAACGGCAGTTAGTAACCAGGACGCACTCAATAACACTCACCATGCACCTGCAGCCTGTGTGTGTGTGTTGCTTTGTGTAAATGTGTGTACATGTGTGTACAGTGAAGCAAGGTTGTTCCTTCAGTGAACTACAGCATAGCACAATCCCCACACACAGCACAGGTGGTCCAAACAAAAACCTGTGAAGTGTTGCCCAGAGAGTAATATCCCCACGTTGTGTGTTGTATAAACCCCCCCATAGGAAACAAACACTTCCGGTGTTGCAAGATTTATTGTTCGGTGCACTTATAGGTTACAGTATACTGTGACTGATATCTTCCTTATACGGTTCTTTGATTTATTCTCAATATTTAATAGCAATTTAGCATGCACGGGAGACATGAAAGGGTCATAATTACTGCTAGATAACTCAAGGACATATTGTTTTGTGTTTATTGTCTCACTCTGAAGAAGAGGGGTGAATTCCCTTGGCAGTGCATTGTGTGGTGAAAAAAGGAAAGACCTGGTTAACTGTTTTGTATGGTGTGAAAAACCAAAGCATTGTTGTACTTTGATAGACTGACCGCACACCATCTTGCTAAATTTTTGCCCCAGATAAGTCACGTTTGCATTCGATTTCACATCTGCACACCTGCACCACATACATCACACAGAGGAATCCACAACGGTTCAACACTATGCTTCTATAGGTGATGTCATTGTAAAGGTCATATATACATAGAAACGCCAAGAATTAGTCACAAATGATTCCCCAACTTTGAACTGACCTACTGTAAGGACAATCTGGGATTAGAATAAGTCTGGTTACACCCTCTAGTGTCAACACTGGGGAACATCGGGAAGCAATAAATAAACAGACATTATATGTATTTCAGAACTGCCTATTAATTCCTTGTATGCCCTTCTATTTGCAGGCAACATTAAAACAAAACCAAAGAAAATATATACTGCCAAACCTAAGTCTCCTTTTGACTAGTGCTATAAACAACAATAGTATCAGAACCATTAAAAGTAAGCTAACTAACATAAGATTAAATTATGGCCACATTTTTGCCCAGTAACCATTTTATATACCAGCAGAAAGATGTCCTATCGATGCTCGACTCACTAACCTAAAGTGTATCTTTATTAAGTATTTGGTGGTATTGCATTGAGAAGTCATTATAAGCAACACACAGTCGTGTGAAAAAGAACATTGTCATAACACTCATTTCATACATTGCAATATTTATATGAAAAACACTAGTTAACACTAGCTTCTTAAGGGACCTTAGGTTCTTATGCCAGTCATCTATCGTCTACTGTCAGAAATCTGGGAGTAGTGCTGGACAGTTCCCTCAAATTAGATAAGCAAGTGGCTGCAGTGGTAAAAACCAGCTTCTACCAACTACGCCAAATTTCGAAGGCAATGCCTTACCTACGACACAAGGACCTTGAAAGGCTCATTCATGCTTTCATAACCTCTAGACTGGACTATTGTAATTCTCTTTACTTAGGCCTCCAACTCTCCCTCATCCAACGCCGACAATTAGTCCAGAATGCCGCAGCACGCCTTTTAAGCGGCACTAGAAGACAGGATCATATCACTCCTATTCTAGCTAACCTCCATTGGCTTCCTGTCAAGTACCGTATTGTTTTTAAAATTCTTCTATACACTTTTAAAATCTTAAATAACTTGGCACCCAGTTATTTGATTGACCTTCTTAATTTATATATCCCTACAAGGGCACTCAGATCCTCTAATCAGGGGCTCCTAATGCAACCAATGTCTCGACTAAAGACGAAGGGGGATCGTGCCTTTGCTTTTGCTGCACCAAAACTGTGGAACAGCCTGCCGGTTGATGTCCGTGCGTCGGAAACTATTCAATCTTTCAAATCACGGTTAAAAACCCATTTGTTTAAGCTTGCCTTTCAAACTACTTAGCTTAATTTCTTCCCGGTTCATGCTTGTTGCAATAGTACCATCCTATAACTGTATTTTTTGTTGTTGATTGTTTTCTTTTGCTGTAAACCTGCAAGTATGGCTCGTCTGTGAAGCACTTTGTTGTACCTGTGACTTTTAAATGTGCTATAGAAATAAAATTGAAATTGAAATTGAAATTAAGGTATTTGTGTATGCACAGCTCTCTTAATATCCTGTAACAGCATTTGAGGTCTGGACTTTGACTGGGTCACTAAAACATCTTGATTTTTTCAGACATACTCTTGTAGGTTTGCTGCTGTGCATTGTCCAGCTATTATTGTACAAGATCCAGTTTCAGCCAAACTTTAGCTGTTGGACAGATGACCTCACATTTGACTCTAAAATACTTTGGTTTAACGGTGAGTTCATGGTGGAGTCGATACCTGCAAGGTACCCAACTGCCATACTAGACAGTGGTATGAGGCGTTTGTGATAACATGCTGTGTTTGGTTTTGGTTTGTTTGGCAAAAGCATCATGGCCAAACATGTTCATGCTGGTCGTGTTGGTTGAAAAGACAGTATTTAAGTAGTCTAGGTTTATTCAGATCCATCTTTGCAAGCCTAAAATGCTCATTTTAGAGAGAAGAGCGTTTCCCCTTTGTGACCTTTTCAAACCGGCCATACTTATTCAGTTGTTTTGTAAACATGCTGCACTGAATGAGGCATTTAGAGTCTCAGATGTGGCTCTTGGGTTACCTTTACCTTCTTTATTGCTATGGAAGCCGTATGAGTGTTGTTTGTTTTTTACAGTACTGCACAGAGTGCTGGCATAACATTTTCATATGACTATATTTAACTATTTTGGGGTTTCCTGTGTAATAGAACTTATTGCATACAGCCTTTATAATGAAAAAGTATCAGTAAATCAGTAAATGGGAATTGTGAAATCTTGCTCTGTTATTACATGGAAACAGACTGAAACTGGGTGCATTTTTTGGATATACACATTCACACTTTACTGTTTTCTGTGGTCATCAGGCAATATAGGCAAAAGAAGAGCTGCAAGGCCCTCATTTGTTGCTATTGTTACTGCAATAAAAATATTAATTAACACAATAGCAATCAATTATTGACATTAAAACTTGCATAAAATTTATAAAAGGGGTATATTACCAGGGTGGTTGCACATCCCACTAGTAGCTAAACACTCCCTCTTGTGGCTCGAATTGTGTATTGTTTTACAGTATTACTGTAAACATGTTTCTTGACACTGAAAGGTAAAGATATGAGTAGCAGAGGCCAGCAGAGGAACTGAAATGTGTGTCATGGAAACTATGCCCTGTTTCTTTATCTTGCATCTTATACACTTGAGCAGACAACACTCCACCACACCTACATTTAACACCAATCACCCAGACACACAATACAAAACAGTGCAGACGTTTCTTTTTTCCATCGCATTGTTGATTTGATACCAAAGGTCATTTGCATTTTTAAAAAAAAGATCACAGGCACAAATTTTGCAAATCATTGACCGCATCTACACATTCTGAAGTACAACGAGCTCTACTGATAACTAACCTAAAGTCCTTCTTGACCAATAACTTTGAGGACCATACATTTGTGAGTTTTAATAGATGAAATACAGTTATCAGTTGTGCTCACTTACTAATTGCAGGACTGGGGCGGAGTAACTACTGCAAGTGAAGTTTAATCAGAAGATTATTTTTGCACTCTGTAGGTAGATCATCTGCCTGAGAATCAAGGGAGAAATATAAGAGAGCAGATAAAAAAGCAAACTGCTGTCTGTTTCCAGTAAACTGAATGTAACCCCCAAGGGGAGGTCCTGGTCTTCACTGTTAGAGAGAGAGAGAGAGCGAGAGCAAGAGAGAGAGAGAAATTAGAGCAGAGCAAAAGAGAGAGAGAAACTTTCCAAACCAAAATGAGTGAGTGAGAGTGACACACTGACAAGCACTCAGTTTTCAATGAGGAAATTGAAGACATTTTGCATCTGGAGTACTTCTGAAGACACGAGCCAAAGACAAGCTAAAGGTATTTATCTGCTGAATGAAAATATGACGTTATAGAGCAGTGACAGGGACTGAGAATTTCTAGATATTGTGAGGTAGTGGTGAACATAATAGTGTAAGTATTATTTTATTTAAATAATGTTGTACAATGTTGGTAAAACACATCACAAATTAAACAAAACATAACGCATAACGTGGATGATAAAATATGTGCGATAGAAAATTGGCAAAAGTATCAAGACTAATTATTATTATTAATTTTCATTCCAATTATCACTTTCTTTTGGGTGAAATCCATAAGTCAACGGTTTGTGTAAAGCCTCCCTAAAGTCATGCATTTCTTCACATGACATTTTGTTATTACAAACCACTGAATATTAAAGCACTGCTCTTGCTGTTTTAGGTGTAATTTTCCATTTTAAGACGTAATTAAACCATCGATATTCATAATACGGTACTTACGCTTACAGTATAAAACACACACAGTCCAAATCTGCTACATCGTTATTTTATCAGTGTTGTGTATTTGCATGTGCAGTCATTATCTTTAGCTTCTGTAATACACATTACATCAACTATATTTGACTTTGTGATCTAAAAAACACTTTTAACTTTTAACATTAACACCTCATACAACTTGCTTCAGATAAACAACAGTTCTTGTTTAACACCATCACTTAGTTTGGTGACATTTCTACACCAGTGTGTTTTTAGCTATTTTTAGCCGTTTTCTTTTCCTCTATTTTTAACTGGAACATGACAATGAAGCCCCACCGTAAACTGTACATGCTAATGCAATGGTAAAGAGCTGTAAACACATTTTCACTTCCTCTTTTGAGAGCCAGTTTTAGTTTTTTTGTTTTCTTGTTTCAATTTTATTATTTTTCTTGGGTCACCTGTTACCAAGCGATACACCTAAAGAGACGCTCACTAAATACATTTTAGCAATTTTGAGTCATTAGATGTCATTTTCCAGCACCGGGCATGAAGTCAAAGAGCAGGCCCTGCAGTGGGAGGAGTGGAGACTAAAAACAGCAGCAGTAAAGCTCATCTGTTTGATCAGGTAACAGCAAAGTAATAAGCACATTGTAGCTATGTGAATCTCTTTCCAGAAACTTATTGGATCATTGTTTACTGATACTACACTAAACAGTGCATTCTGTAATTAGATATGTGATTTTAGTAAATGTTAGCGTCATGTAACGTAGCTAAAAGAGGTTTCCACCAAACACGCAGGATGGGCTGCACTTGCAGTGGCGAGAAACAAGAAAAAGAAGAAGGATTCCGCAAAGGAAAACACAAATCACACGCCTCCCCGTCATCAAACCATATAGTAAGTAAAACACTAAAAAGATTTACTCGGATGTGAAACTAATTTTACTCTAATTACCTCAAAAGGTTTACTTGACACACTGGACATAATCAAAGTCTTCTTTTTTTCCTCCCAATTCTTTCAAGGGACGAAGTGGAAACGCCTATACAAATAATGGTAATCACAAACTTCCTTGCATATATCAACCATCATAGTGGAAAGTGACAGGCCTGCATTCACGGACCCAACTGCTGCTGCGTTAAGAGACATTAGTGGCAGTAATAAGAGCTACAGTTTTGTGATCAAAATCTTGGTTGAATTTCCTCTGTTCTCTTCTGGGGAATAGATGAGATTGCAAACACATGAAAGTAATGTTAATGTCACAGATGTAAAATAACACAGCGGTTGCTCGGAGAATGAAAACAATATCGCCACAAATTGCGCATGTTAGAACACAGGATCACGTCAGGTAAAAATTAGATTAAAAATACACTTTTAAAGAAACTCTGTGCTCTTCTTTCCTTTAGATGACACTATATTTATTGCACAACACGACTTCAAAGCGACCAACGACAGTGATCTGCCTTTCAGAAAGGGAGACAAACTTAAAGTATTGCAAGAGTAAGTCTCGTTCTATGGTTCCCACAGTAGTGAAAGTGACAATAAAGAAAGCGCACAGAGAAATAAAATGAATTCGGCATGTTTGTCTGGTGTACAGAACCGGAGAATGGTGGCTGGCCCGACTGCTGACGACTGGACAAGAAGGCTTGATACCATCGAATTATGTAGCCAGAGCAGATACGCTGGAAGTGGAAAAGTAAGCTTGAAATATTATGAAATGAAATGTAGCACACATCTATTGATTGATTAATGCTGTTATACGGGGTTTTTGTATTATTATATTCAGGAAGAGTGACTTCTGTGGTTTTGTGGTGCTCTCTCTTGCAGATGGTTTTTCAAGGATTTGGGCAGAAGAGAAACCGAGAGGCTACTTTTAGCACCCGGAAATAAACCAGGATCCTTTCTAATTCGAGAGAGTGAGACCTGTAAAGGTGACCACCATCAGTATCTTTCCGAGATCATGCCACAACTCACATTTTTAGCAGCTACCTCTATTTATTTTCATTGTGGTCAATAAACCCAAATGTCCTTTTTTCCCCTCTCAGGGTCATTCTCGCTGTCAGTCAAAGATTATGAAGGAGAAAGAGGAGATGTAGTAAAACATTACAAAATCCGTTGTTTGGACAAAGGTGGCTACTACATCTCCCCTTCCAACACGTTCCCGACCCTACAGGAATTGGTTCAATACTATACCCGTAAGTAACAACTACAAATACAACATCTCCACCCTCAAAAAGTTTGTATTTTCAGAGATGTATAATTTAAGAAACCATATCTATGCACAGGATTTTCTGTTTCCATGTTTCCAATTCAGCATTTATAATTGTAAAACCTGCATCTTGCATTAATTGGACTCATATTAAGCTTGCTGCTTTGAATTCTAAAACATCTGCAGTGACTTTGAATTAAAGGGGGAAGTTCGACCCTTGTGATGTGTTGTGCATTTCCTGAGTGAGAGGAGTGATAGTCTTTCCACTCCTGCGACTAAACCACAAGATAAGCAGGCCAGATCTTGAGAAAGGTTGTCTCAAAGATCAACTTATGAAAAAGAAATGCACGAACAAACATGCTTTTAGAATTATCTAATGAAAGATGAGATGTATAGTTTCTGTAACTATATTTATCACTTGTGCAAAGAAAGATGGAAAAGATTTTTGTTTGTTATATCTGAATGTATCGTATTTGGGTGCAGACACGGCAGATGGGTTATGTCAGCGACTGTATGCTCCCTGTAAGCCTATGGCCCCTCAGCAGCCATGGGCCCATGATGAATGGGAGATTCCTCGAGAGACAGTGAAAATGGTGAAGAAATTGGGGGCCGGACAGTTTGGGGAAGTGTGGATGGGTAAGGGAAAGCCACCGATCAAACTGTTTGAAGACACCTAATAAACCAAGACGGCAAAGTCAATAAAGCATTCTGTTTGAATTATTTGGCAGGTTACTACAAGAACACCCAGAAGGTTGCTATTAAGACCTTAAAGGAGGGGACAATGGCGCCTGAGGCCTTCCTTCAGGAGGCCAACCTGATGAAGCAGTTGAGGCATGACCGACTGGTACGACTTCATGCTGTTGTCACTAAGGAGCCCATTCTTATTGTCACCGAATTTATGATCAATGGTAAGTGAAACAAAGAAGAGTTTTAAGAGTTGCTAATAATTAAATATTAACTACAATATATATATATAATGTAGTACAAATTGGACTTTCACCAATAAATTAAAACAGAAGTAATCTGGTACTGATTTTCATGATTGTTTTTTAAAACAATTTACTTGAAAATATTAAAGAACATAGTCGCAGTGGCATTAAGGGCTGTCTTGATTGTCCGAACAACACAAGTGTTTCCAATAAACAAAAATATCTTTTTGGAAGCAGTTCGAAACTGTGGGCAAAGAGCGATTTTTTGGTTAGTCTTAATTCTATAGGCCAACCAAATATAAGATTTTTAAGATTGATACAAACACCAACATTTGGTGATTTGTAAATCTGATATTCCAACATATCAGCCAATATTGTTTTTCTTCCAGAGACACGAAATACAAACAGATTTGCATAACACTTGTTATTTATTTAATCATTTACACTCTTCACTCTGATTGGATCAGCTTATTGTTGTTTTTTGTCAACAGGGAAGTTGCAGAGTGCTCTCTGCTGAAGGGTGTTTTCTCCCCTCTCTTCTTTACATTTTAAATTTTCAGTCGTCATTACAAATTCCAGTACTGATAAACTGGCAACTAACTTGTATCATTCAATAAAACAGTAATACCTGACACTTCCCAATTAGTACTAAACCAAAAAGAGTGTTGATAACATACAAAATTTAGCAAAAATGCAAACCTTCTAACGATGCAGCTGGTGGTGTACCACAGCGCCACAGCGCCTGGAAGGTGGGAGGCGCCCAGTTGATATCGCTGATAAAATAAACCATAGCACAAGTTACGGATGTTTGTCACCCAAGGCCTAACTTTACTCATGCAGAAAGCATTTAACTTATGAACTGAATTTTACCCAATTGCAACTGATTAAAAGTTGGTTCCTTTTCTGAAGCGTATCACTGGTGGGAAACATGCTTTGAAGCATATTACTTGTTCTTCCTGACTTTGCTTTTATCATTTGCGGAAATGTGTGCGAACCTGTTGACGTCAACTATGCAACCATTTTTTGGCAAATGTTATAGAGAAGTTCACAGTCATAGCCGCTACGGTAACAACAAGGTGGGGGCGTAAAAAAACATCTGCGCCAGGGCCGATCGCAGAGTTGTTACGCCAAAATATATATAAAAATATATACACGTGGACATTAAGATAACATAAGATGACATGAGATATATGTTACACTTTTTCTTTTTTATATTCATCCCAAAGTTGAGGAATATAATGTATTATCTAAACACATTAACAACAATATTTGTGACTCTTTTAATATTCGTCTTTTGCAACTGTTTGATTATATGGCTATTGCTTAAGGCCTTAATGTTCGGTGTATTGGTGTGCTAAATGAGATTCTGTAGTAAAGGCAAGCTAATTTAAATATCACACCTACTGACTTCACCAGGAAATGAATATTAAAATCTTTGGTTTGGGTTTTGATTAGACTGGTGCTTGTTGTACTGACTCACTTTAGACTGAACAGACGGCTCTTATTATGGCTAACGGCTAGACAATTAAACACTCTGCCGTATCTTCATTTTTCAAAATGTGCACCAATCCAAAAGCCCCCAACAACAACTGGAACATTACAGAGCTTTTCTGTTAGGAGATATGTAGGTAGAAGTTTCAATTAAACCACAGTAGTTTCAGATAATATGTGCTTCTCTTTTTTTATTTGCAGGATGTCTTCTAGACTTTCTAAAAACAGACGAAGGGAAAAAGCTAAAGCTAAATAAGCTGATCGACATGTCAGCACAGGTAGGAAACTTCTAATAAAGAAATTCAGTTACATGATTTCAGTTAACTATCGTGTGTGCATGACATTTTCAGCGATAACAGTCACTGATACTGTAATCTTGTAAATGCCAAAACATTTCTTTTTGCTCTGAGTGTTTCCATAATTCTTTCATTTGTGTCTCTTCTGCTGCTTCTGACTGTGATAGTCAGCGTGACTTTAATCTTTAATTAAAAGATGAGTGTATGCTTTGTTAAAAAACAAATACACTAGCCATCTGGCTGACCTCAATGTCTATTTTTACATTCTTGCTGCTCTACAGTAACATTTTGAAAGTACCATATACTATGCGCTTTGGCATCACACACACGGAAACTGTCAGCAGATGCTATGTGGTTTCTGTGGTGGTGCTTTTGCTTGTCTGATTTGAAAGCCTCACCCTACGTCAATTATTAACATCCGGACAGGAAATCATGCTATTTTTCCATCCACAGTGAGCTCCCCCAGAACTCTTTTGGCCCTCCAAAAAACTTTTGACTTCCTGAGAGTTGGCACATCCTGTTAAACCCACTCTACTGTCATTTTTTTTTACAATGTGAACATAAGTATTAACACATACAGCTCGCTGTAGAGGCCTCATTGCATGTGCTCGGCTTTTATAAGACATTCAGATTCCTATCAAACTGATGTGCTGTTGTCTTGTGTGTTTTTACGATGGAAAACCAACATTTCTTGAATTGACATTTGATCTAACAAATCTGCTATTTCTTTGGATATACCAGATAGCTGAAGGCATGGCGTACATTGAGAAGAAGAACTACATCCACCGTGATCTGCGTGCAGCTAACATACTGGTCAGCGAGACGCTGCATTGCAAGATAGCAGACTTTGGCCTGGCCAGAATCATCGAGTCAGAATACACGGCTCAAGAAGGTGCAGTAGTTTTGACGTAAACGCGCCTCCGGTGCCACAAACAGGATTTTAGAAACACTCGCGTCACAAAGAAACGCTGATGTCTTGTCTGAAGACACATTTCCATCTCCTTTAGAAATTTATGACCCAAGTTTTCCTTCTTCTATTAGTAATATAGGTTGTTTTTATATAATGTATTTTTCTGTAGTTTTCAACATTAAGGACGACAATCAATAGTGTCTGATAAATGTCTCAAGAGGGCCTTTAGTTAATATACAGCAGAATATAGAATTCAATTCTTAACTTTAAACCAAAGTGCTCAATAATTAACAGATAATTAAATCATATTAAGTAGTGGAAACGTTAAAAAAAAATGTCTACACAGAAATTTTGACCTTTTTTGTTTAAGATACTGATTTTTTTTTTTAATAACTTGATTTGTTTCACAGATTAAGAAACCATCACTTAAAATTGGTAATTTCACATTACTTATTTCTATTGCGTCCTTCTCCTAGCCTGCACTTGTGCATTAATACTGTAGCGTTCGTTTCATTGTGTCGGGCAAGTTCTGGATTTGCAGCAGCATGCATGCTCTATTGCAATGAGTTGGTTGGTATGTGCTGATTTTTGGTGGGCAGGTTTCCGTAGCTTATAGTTGCTGAGATTTTGTTATATTTACTTTTGTTTCAAAAAAAGCAAAGCAGTAAAACCATGTTTGAACTGAGTTACGGGGTTTGTGACTATGACTGCGGTGGTACACACAGGAGTGCACGCAGCACGATGCGTCGTTCATTATAAGGAAGATTTTTGAAATTGTTTCAAAGCACTCTTGTTGATGCTCGTCGGGAGCGATATACTGCTTGGTGTGTGCGCGTGTGAGGGCGAATGTGTAAAATAGAAAAAATGTGATTTCATTTAATCATCTGAGCTTAACTTTAATTGAAAAAGGCACATATAGCACATATAGCATTCAATCACCACTTCACATGTAAGCGCAGCTGCCGAAATCCTTTTTTGAGCTGAAGGTCATTTCCTCTGTTAGCAGAAACTCACCCTCCTCCCCTACCAAAATTAGTAAAGAGTGATTGCTTCAATTATTTTTAAAACAGCATATTGTGTTTTTAAAGTATGTTATAAAAGTGTGAGTACAATGCCCATAATTTTCAATCAGGTGTATACAAGTGTATATTCTAATATCAATATATATTTGGAATTGTATTTACATTTTGTCTAACTCTGTGAATTAAAAACGTATAAATCTGTCACAGTGATTGAAAATCTTGTAAAAAAAACAAGAAAATAGAACCCACAGATTTATCAGAGCGACAGAATGATCTGTAAATTCTCTAATGGAAAGCTTTCTCATTATTTCAGAGTATTTCCTGCCCATTAATCATCCCACATTAAAAGGAAAATAAACATTTACACAAATGCGAACACACCTACATATCCTTCACAGTGAACAACAAGTAACACAACTTCCTTCCATTTTTTTCCTTTTACTTTTGTCTAATAATCAGGTGCTAAGTTTCCCATTAAATGGACGGCTCCAGAGGCCATCAACTTTGGGACGTTCAGCATCAAATCGGATGTCTGGTCCTTTGGGATCCTCCTGACAGAAATAGTCACCTACGGAAGAATACCATACCCAGGTATGGGTTATTTGAAATAACTTCATATTCACAGAAAACAGCTCAAATATTGCTTTGCTATCTTATGAAAAAAAAAAGTTACAAAGTATCTGTCAAAGTGCATGCTTTTTTTCTCTCTTCATCAGGTATGACGAACCCAGAGGTGATCAGGAGTCTAGACAGGTCATACAGGATGCCATGTCCAGACGGCTGTCCAGAGGAACTGTATGATATCATGATGGTGTGCTGGAAGCAGAAGCCTGACGACCGACCGACTTTTGAATATCTTCAGAACACTCTCAACGACTTTTTTATTGCCACGGAAGGACAATATGAGATGCAGCCGTGATGACAGAAAAAGAGAATGTTTTTCGTTGTGGACAATGAAATCTCTTAAAAAACCATGACTTGAATGGATAAAGGACCACATAGCTTTTTGATGATACTTTTTCTTTTAAATAGAGTGATGGATACGTTTTTCACACCTGCCTTCTAAGTGAATGTTAAAGATATTCATGGCTTCTTCTGTCTGTAGCGGATATCAGTCAGATATGCAACGCGGCTTCATGTCAGCGCCTTTTCTCGATGGAGCATAAGGTTGCATTCTTAGAACTGATGTATGATGCGTATTAGGACGATGGATATACAAATACAGTTCACTCATGTTGTAAAGCAACATCTGGACCCAGAGAAGTCAGCACAGGTAAAGTTGCAGATTAAACATTTGCATGGTACAGAAACTAGAACCCTGAGATTACATGCACAATACTTTGCACTTTTTTTTATTTTTCTAAAAAAAATAAGTAATTCAGCAGATTTTTTTTAAGTGCTTAGCAAAGAGACGTTATTCTTGCATTTATGTCTTTTGTAAATAAGAACTTGTAGTTCTTGTATTTAAATCAAAAATTTGAAATTACAATGCTGTAAAAGCATTTCTCATGTAGGGCTTTAGTGGTGACTATCACTTTTTACAGTTTGGTGTTTGAGACAACGAGGATGTGTCTCAGTTCACCGATCATTAGAGAAAATAGCAGCGTTTGTGTTTTGTTTTGTTTTTTAAAAAAGACGTTTGACATCTTAAGTGTGAAAGTAAAGCTAACACTCTGGATGAAACAAAAATAAAAAGAACTTTAAAATACATCACCTCCCTCGTGAAAACAAATGGCAGCAATGTGTAGACTGAGTTACTAACTCTAGTTTCGATCATGTTAAAATGATGAAAGGGGTGACTGACCCGAACATACCCCCCATTTTGAACGGCAACCCATAGGAAGCCTTTAAAAGCAGCTAACTACTAAATTACAGCAGTCTTCAACTGAGCCTTCCCAGGGGGAGCACAGACAGTTAGTGATAAGAGACTGGAATGGCTGTGTTAGCCAAGGGGTGAAACTCTGCCATTTCCTGAATGGACAGGAAACAGGAAGTGTGCGTCAGCATTCCTAAAATGCCACAAAGCTAGAACAGTCTCGCATACCAAGTTAGTAGTTGTCTTCACATTTTTCCTCCTGAAATACATCCGTTTGAAATTTACTTTTTGTTGTTATTGCTGATTGAGCGCCTCTGAATTTTGAGGGAGAGGGAAATTGTCATTTAACATAATAGTGATGGTAAATAAAAACCAAAACAACTTCAAGTATTCTTAAAATATATAAAACATTATTATTAATCTTATTCAATAAGAGCACATGAGAATAAACATGCATTATATCTAAAAATGTCTGCCATGTCTGTTTAAAAAAAATATGGCAGGTGATTTTATGTTGACATTTGTAATATAAAACTGAATATGTTTTAAAATAGCCTGTAAAGCCAGTTGAAATGTTTTTAATATGCCTGACCACTGGACTTTTTCCTTATAAATACAAATTAATCTTTAACCTCGCAGAAGACCCAAAGACGTTTCAACATTTTTAATCTCTCATATGATCCATGAATTCTGTCCCATGCATACTAATATCAGATATGGCAGGTGCTATGTCAGCATCAGCGACAGTGTATCAGTGTTTTACATTTTCTTGCTGTTGTTTTTTTAATGATTGCAAGCATGAATGTGTTAATAGTAGTTTAATTTCAGTTCATACTGGTTAATACCAGCAGTGTCTTGGAAATCAATTATATAGATTATTTATTCTCTGTAATTAGATTACTCTTTTCACCTTGTGGACAATGCAAATCAAATATGAAAATGCAAATACATGTGTATTTTTAAAAAATTAAAGTGGGAAGTGAAAAACTGAAAGGCCACAGGGCACAGTGCCGCAGTTCTTTTATACTCCTATCATCCTGCAGATGTCAGTGTTACACAGTATAGCATTCTGTAATGTATCTACAGTATAATGCATGATAGCTTTGAAAATTCTGGAAATTTTTCATAGAGGTATTTGAGAATAGTCCTGGTGAACTCACCGGAAACAGTAGTGTATATCAAAGTACTTAATAACAAAATGTCAACACTGAGTCTTAAGTTGCATTTAAAGTAAAAAGGGTTTATTTGCATACTGCTAGTTTCTCCCAACTTCCCCTAAACTGTTTTCATAAAATAAAAAGAAGGCAACATGCCGCTCTGCCTATGGCCAAAAAATAATATACTCACAAATGCTGTATGTTCTCCACCTTGTTCACAGCTGTGCTCACAAATTCTTCATAAATCACATATCAGTCTGAGCAATTACACAGAAATCCACACAGCTAACCATTCTGTCACGCACTGATCCTATCACAGTCATCTGTATGTATTTAGTCTCTGTCGCTCTAATTGGCTTTCTTTGCATCTGAAGGCCGTGTTGAAAGACATTTACACGGCAACACACACACACACACACATTTATTTAGGCTGTTTTTTATGTTAATTTCGCTCTTTACCGTGAATGAATTATCTATTCAACATCCAAATAAACTCATCAACTGAGGATGAGCGTATTAAGTTATGAGGCAAAGCCAAACATCGACACAGCAGTCTGTCAGCCAATCAACTGAAAGGATCGCCATTAAGAAAATCTCACACTGGAGAATGATTGATAAGAAACATCACCCTGAAAAGAGCTTCATGTTAACGCAAGATGACAAGACGCGAGGGGTAGAGGTTTAAAGGCCAAATCATCCTCGCTCCTCCTCCTGTGCATGACTGCTGGCTTAGAGTAATAATGAAGGGAAACAGTGGCTCGCACACAGATTAATGAGTGATCCCCCCAGAAGGCAACACATCATTAGCATTTGATAGCGATAACCCTGCATGGCCCTCTGGGACAAAAAAACAAACAAAAAACAAGCACATCACCACAGATGAAAAGAGATGTGCTTTCATCTTCCAATAATGTCTTCAGTGGTGTTTAGTTGGCATTATGCTCCTCATAAACATGTTTTCTCTTGGTCTCTCTCTTGGGCTTTGATGTCATTAAAATGATGGAGTCCATCAATCAAATGTGTTCGCTCTAATAGAATTGAGGGCTCTTGAACCCGTGACAGACGATGTTTCCAGAACATTTTACCAGAATAGATAAGAAAGTGCAGATAAGGAAAGAGGTGAACAGATGTAGTCATGAATTTCACTGAAATAGCTCTCACAATAGCAGCTATTTTGTGTTCTCTGATTAAACCTATGAAAAAATAATGACTTGCATCTCTCTCCTGAAACATTACCTAATTTTATGGGCTGTTTAACAACTAATGTGTAATACTTTGAAAAAGAAGCCCAGCTCTTTTCATGCGTGCGGTATGAAATGAATCTGTAAAAACTTGCTGTGCACGAGGTCAAGAAGTGAGATAAACAGGCCATTTTCTCGTGTACGCAGAAGAAAAATATGTCTAATGTTATACTATATCTCTGCGATGCCTTTTACAACACTCAGAAGCTCAATTTCAAGAGCTTATTCACGTAACATCACTCAATGGTGAAGATGCTCGGATTTGTGTTTTCTCACAAATCCAGCTAATTTTTAAATGTTAAATCCATCAAATCGTTGCATGTACAGCAAACACAGTTGCTCGAAGAACTGTTAACTTAAAAGCCTCTCAGTTCTGGAGAGCACTGTTTGCTTTCACATTAATTTTGCTTTCAGACCCAAAGCAAGAAGATGACCGACTACAACCGCAGCAAACGAGAAGCTTATAAAAGAACTCAACTGTCAGCACAGAGGCAGAAAGACAAAGCCTGGGACTAGCTGTTGAACATAAAGGAACCAGGATCAGACATTTCCCCTCACAAGTAGGTGAAAATCAGACTAAAGCTTTAAAGGGATTGCAACATTATACAGCAAGACACCCCAGCCAAAACAGGTTCAAATACAGACAATATTTCCCCAGTAAAAACTGGGGGTGTTATGACAGCAGACGAGCGCACAGGCCTACAAAGGTTGATGCTGTTTCCATGTACATTGTGATATCGTCGCATTATTACAATAAACAAAACAAATTGTTCAATTCCAACTACTTTGGTAAACTGTTGTAACTAACAGTCATTTAAACATAAGGCAACACATTTGTGCCAGTCATGTATACGTATATGTAAATAATAGCTTCTCTGCCCTGATGTTACATTGATAAGTCTGATTTGCGACCTACATGGTGTCTATCAGGTATATGTGTGGAAACGTATGATAGTCTATGCTACAGTATCACGCTCACCACCACCGCTTTAAAAGGAAGTGATGTGTTACACGCTTGCTTCTCTTTCTCCTAATTAAGTTGTGTCTCATGTGCTGTAGAGATATCGCCCTAAATTTTCATGTAATCGCAAGTGTTGTGTTAAGACTTTTCTAATTTCTTCCCCCAAATTATTAAATCAATACTTAATCAAAGCACTCAAACACTCACCAGTCATTTTGTTAGGTGCAACTGTTCGACTGGTACCTAATGAGTCAATCATATGACAGGTATTTCAGAAACTGCTGACCTACAGGGATTTTCCCATTGCCATGAGTCTACATCAGGGGTGCCCAATCCCGGTCCTCGAGAGCTACCGTCCTGCAGCTTTTAGATGCATCCTTGTTCCCACACACCCGAATCAAATGAATGGCTTGTTATCAGGCCTTTGCCAAACATGATGGCATGCTGAAGAGGTAATCAAACCATTTGATTCAGCTGTGTTGGAGTAGGGATGCATCTAAAAGCTGCAGGATAGTAGCTCTCGAGGACTGGGATTGGGCACCCCTGGTCTACATGGTCTGAGAGTCTTATCTTTTATCATCAGAAAGAAATAACCAGCTCCTAGAGGACAGGTGGAAGAGGATGGGCAGATGATTCCTGGAGCCAACAATTCCTAGCTGTATTTCTCCATCCTGCTCCAACCATGACAGGTTGTATAAGCAGCTGAAGAGAGCAGGTCACCAGGAAGAAGGTCGATGGTGCTGTCATAGGGGACAAAGATGACACTTTGTCTTTGCTGAATACCTCCTGTAGGCCATGACTACACCATCAACCTTCTTCCTGGTGACCTGCTCTCTCCAGCTGCTTATACAACCTGTCATGGTTGGAGCAGGATGGAGAAATACGGCTAGAAATCGTTGGCTGCAGGAATCGTCCACCTGTCCTCTTCTTCCCATCCTCTTCCCCAGTAGGAGCTGTTCTTTTCTTTGTGGTGATAAACAATAAGACTCTCAGACCATGTAGACTTTTGCGGGATCAATGACATCACAGTAAAAAATAAATATCCACTCTAATTAGCTCCACTTTTGAACCCCTCCATGGAACATTTGGTCCTCATCCAAGAGGGTGATGAATGAAAAACAGTTTTTAATACACCTCTCTGACACTTTGAGTACCTGGTCATGCCTTTTGGACTTACAGATGCTCTTGCGGTATTTCAGGCACTGGTAAATCATTTGTTAAGTCGTCGTATATCTTGACAACATTGTGATTTTTTTCTAAGACCTTGCAGTAGCACCAAGTTCACAACTACATTGTATTACCGCAGCTTCTGGAGAATTGACTCTGTGTCAAAGATGAAAAGTGCAAGTTTCACTCACCATCCATCACATTTTCGCTCTATATCTTAGCAGGGGGGCAGATGAAGACAGACATGCAGTCACAGAATGGCTCATGCTGACTTCACAAAAAAAGCTACAATGCTTCCTTGGATTCACCAATTTCTGCTGCTGCATCTGGAACTACAGTCAGGTAGTTTGGTCCCCAGATTCCGAAGCGGCCTTTTACAAATTGAAGGAGCCGTTCACCTCAGCAGGCTTGCTGGTCTCTGTTTTTTCTTCTTTAAAATCTCCTATCGCCCAGGTTCAATATATATCAAGCCAGATGCTCTCTCATGCCAGTTCTCAGAAAATGCAGTCAGCTGGATCAGCTGGACAAATCCTGCCGGCATCCTGTACTGTTGGAGCTCTAACCTAGGATTTGGAGGAGACCATCCAGCGTGCCCTGTCAGACGACCCTGACTGACACCCCATCGCTATGTTCCTACCACAGCCTTTTCCACTGTTATCCACTGGGGGCTCACTGCTACTTTGCCAGTCACCCTGGGGTAAGTAGAATGTGTTTTCTCAGACTATTTCTGGTGAGACACACTCAAGAAAGATGTCGAGAAAGATGTCTCAGGTAGCAGCCTGCACAGTCTGCACCTGAAACGCCAGGAAGAGCAGCATGCAACTGCTTCAGCCTCTAGCAGTTCCTCACTGGCTCTCATCTTGGTGGATTTTTTCACCAGTTTACCAGCCTAAAATGGTAAGCAGTCATCTTATCAATCATGGACAGATTCTATAAAGTAGCACCCAAAATCTAGCCACTGAATTTGGTATAAACAAGATGAAACTATGGGTCAATCTTGCCTCTAGTGGTGTAATAGTGTGGTGGATATGACACACTTTGGGCCCTTTAGTACCAACTGGTGATCATTTAAATGCCACAGCCCACTGATGCCTATTGATCCTGTTTATCTCTTTATGCCTTCAGTGCAGACATCTTCAGATGGCTGCTCCATTACGATAAGGCACCATATCATAAAGCTCAAATCATCTCAAAGTGGTAAACATGTCATTACACTCTAATAGCCTCCACAGTCACCAGATCTCAATCCACCAGAGCACCTTTGTGTTGTGCTGTGATGGGATATTCACATCATGAATGCATAGCCAACAAATCTGCAGCACCTGTGCGATTCTCTCACATCAACATGGACCAAATAGCTTCTATATCCTGTATCTTTTTTTGGAGCTGTACTTTTCAAAAGAAGATACAGGAAATGTTTGTGGTGTTTACCAAGAAAGCACCTACTTACCAAGAGTGGTG